AAGGAAATGAAAAAGAACGGGGAAAGGATTGGAAACGAAAGGAAAAAAAAAGAAAAGGGAAAGGAAAGGAAAGGAAAGGAAAAGGAAGAGGACCTCATGGCCTTTTGCGACCAGCTCAGACTCGGGCAGTCTGATGCTGGCAGGGACGAGGCCACAAGGCTTGGGCTTCCTTGGAGGTCGGCGGCAATCCGTTGGTGGATGGTCATGATTGGGCACTGTGAAGTGCAATGTGTGATCAGTCACTATGGCGTGGCCAGTCTGGAGCCCCTAGCCCGCCTCTTCAAGAGAAAGCCCGTGGCTTTTTCGGAGGGGAGCAGGGAAGTCCTGGGTCAGTCTGTTGCTGTTGCACAGCTAATTCCTGGACCAGCAGCCATGTGGAAGGAAGGACAGTCTGCAGGCCATATGGCCAGTCCCAGCACCGTGGCAAAGGCTCTCTTGGAGTCTGGACTGATCACCAAGGTCAGCTGGCCGCTCACGGCAGACTTGGCTGCTGCTATGGTGGTTGTATGGGACAGTCTGTGGCTTGGCCATCTCGCCCAACATTGACCAAAAGCAAGACTTTTAAGTTTTAAGGGAATCCCATGCTCAGGGTAATGAGCAGGTCATCTTTTGGAAATGTATTTGTGTGAATTTTGTGTGTTGGGGGTCCAGCCAAATGGGGTGTGGCACGCTGGGACCGCTTTACTGCACCGATTCATGCACCATACCAATGTTTGGTTTAGGCCTCATATGGTGTCATATTGGGAACCCTTGCTCAGGAAAGCTGCCAACCTTCAGCGCGCAGCTGTCGGGCAGTCTTCTGCGGCCAGGGCAAAGCCTCACTGGCGGGAACTCCTGTGATCTCCTGCTGCCGATGGAGCATAGTAGAATGTATCGCGGAAAAGAAATCAGACGGGGACTATAGGGGACTTTGGGTCCATAGGCCTGAGTAGCCATGTAGTAGAGATTGTGTAGGGATGTGTAGAGATGTGTAGAGTGAGCTGGTCATCAGACTTAGCGAACTACCGAACTGAAGGTATCTGAAGGTATTCAAGAAGTTTGGGGCACCTAGAACATCCTAGAGCCAGCGGCCCTAAGACCCTGAACAGCACAAGCCTTTCACAACCCATACAAGACTCCTATTGCCATTTTCTATGCAGCCAGTATATTTTTATAAGAAGTCCACCCAGATTCGTTCCCCATGTCCCAAGTGAGCAGGACTCAGCTACACTGGCGGAATCCTTTGCCATGTGTGCAGCTCAGCTCATCCGGCGCATCAAGGTTCAAAGCAGATCCGGATCCCAGCCTGACCCAAGTATGAGAATTTATCCGAATCTACGAGCAAATTACCAGACTGAGAGTACTCAAGAAGTTTTGGTCATTTAGAGCCAGCGGCCCTAAGATGCCCTAAAAAATGCTTTAAACATCTTTAAACATCTGTAAACATCCCTAACAGCACAAGCCTTTTGCATCCTTTCACCACCAACGAAAAAGACTTCTATTGCCATTCCGTTTTTCAGGCAGCCCATTTATTTGTACAAGTGGTCCACTCATGTCCACTCAAAATATATCTCTAGCAGCACAAGCCTTTTGCATCCTGTCACCACCAACGAAAAAGACAAAAAGACTTCTATTGCCATTCCGTTTTTCAGGCAGCCCATTTATTTTTACAAGTGGTCCACCCAGATTCTTTTCCCAGGTCCCAAGGCAGCAGGACTCAGCATGACTCAGCTACACTGCGGAGGCCGAATCTTTTGCCACGTGGGCAGCTCAGCTCATCCGGCAAAGGCAGATCCAGACCCCAGCCAGAACTTTTGTAAACTTTGTCAAAACTTTGTAAACCTTGTCAAGACTCTGTAAACTTTGTAAAAACTTTGTGAGACTTTGTAAACTTTGTAAAAACTGAAAATTTGTTGTAAAGTTGTGAAATTTGCAGGAACGTTGTCACTTTCCAAAACTTTGCAAAAACTTTGTAAACTCTGTATAAACTTTGCAAAATTTGCGAAACCTTTGTAAACTATGTGACTATGTGAAAACTTTGTAAAGTTTGTAAATGTTTGTACACTTTGTAAAAACTTTTAAAAATGGTAGGATTTTGCAATCGTTGTAAAAACTTTATGGACTTGGTACAGGCGTACAGGCTTTGAAACTTTCAATACTTTGCAAATTGTGTAAACTGTTTACAAACTTTGTCAACGTTGAGAAACTTTCAAAACTTCTTTCTGTTTTTTAATGTAAAACCTTTGTAAACTGGGTAAACTTCGGAAACTGTTCAAAACTTTGTAAACTGTGTCACAACATTGTAAACTTGGTAAAGAAAACTGTAAACCTTGTACAAATTGTGTAATCTTTGTAACACCTTGTACAACTTTATAGAACTTAGTAAAAACTTTGTAAATTTATGTGAAACCTTTGTAAATGTTGATAAAAACGTTGTCAACTTTTGTTAAAATATTGTAAACTTTGTATTACTGTAGGTGAAAGGTTGTAAAACTTTGTAAACTTGATACAATGATTGAAATCTTTGTGAAACTTTGTAGATGCTTTTAAACTTTGTACCAATTTTGAAAGCTGTGTAAAAACTTAGTAAACTCTGTATAAACTTGGTCAGCTTTGTCAACACTTTGTAAACTTTAATACTGCTTTAAACTTGGTAAAAACTTCAACATGTAACTTTGGTAGGGCTTTGCAAACTTTGTCAAACTTTGTAAGCTTTGTCAAACTGTGCAAGCTTTGTCAAGCTTTAAACTTGTAAAACTGTGTAAAAACTTTGTAAAACTTTGTAAGAACTTTGTAAAGCTTTTTTAAAGCGTTCTAAACTTCGCAAACCTTTTACGAAGTTTTGGAGCTCTTCAAAACTATTCTTCAAAATTAGAGCAACGTTTACAAAGTGTTTAGAAAGTTTACAATTTTTGATTTTTACAAAGTTTACAAATCTTTCACAAAGTCTTTAAGTTTTGTACAAAGTGCACAAATTTTGCAAAGAGTTCACAGAGTTGTTGAATTACAAGCAAATTTACAAAGGTTTACAACGTTTACAAAGCTTTTACCGTCGCCGTTCACTCACCACTCACGAGACAAACAAACCTATGAAATAGTCCTTTGGGTGTCGTATGTTGCCACTAACAGCGCAAAAAAGCAAGAAGTGTTTTATACCCTCTCTTAGTTCTGAACAACCAATTCTTCAGAGGCCCGCAAGGGTCAACGAACGACGGTCTGCAAGCAACTTAACAACCAGAACCTTGCCCTAACAATAATATATATATATAAATATTACCAGGATCATCCCTAATCATAGGTGTCCAAAGGACTACCCTACCCTACTCATAGGTCTCCGTTGGGCACCCATTGGAAGTGCTAGGATATATACATTACATTATGTATTTATATATCATATTTGCCTATACATTGACCCTTAAAACATCTTAAAACCATGCCAACCTGTTAGTAGAGAGGGGCAGGTTCACGAAACCCTGTAATACGAAGAGGACGGCCTACCGACCCAAGCCAGTCGCCGAAAAGCATGAACTATACAATAAAGTCCACCGACCCGAAACCGATCACGTCCTTTGGTTGAAGAAGAACAAGGAGATTTGACCCATATATGCCCATATTGAACATGTACTATGTACTTTGATTTACATGATTCTGTGTAGAGTATCCTTTACTAGAGTAGACATGACATATGCCTACTCTATGATCAATCTGCACCAAATGAGGAGAAGAGCATGAACGGGTGTTCCGTCTTGTCCGTTGTGCATTCGGAAATGATACGGGCGGAGACAAACCCTTGTCGGAGTTGTTGTCACCGAATTCGGTGAGTCAGGTGACAGGACAAGATCCACATGAACCGAAAAGGCGAACGGCGAACCTTTATGAGTAGAAGGACAACTTGGTCTATTGCAGATAGTAGCAGACAGAAAGCCCTTTTCAGCCGGTTTTCCCGCTGGTGTTTGGCCAAGAATTGATGGTGGGCCGGTGCTGCACGGTGTGTCCGGTCGGTGCTGCGCGCGCGGATTCAGCTCCTTTGAGGGTCCCAACTGTGAAAACAATTACGTGGCCGGAACCACATCCATTCATTGAATACGGTTCCGGTTTTGAAAATACTTCATTACAGTTCTTCATCTTAGCTTTATTAAGTGGCCGCTCCCAGCTTTCTTAAGTGGCACTGAATACCTTGATTCCGATCATATTTAGTGGATGTAATTCTTTTCCGGGTGAAGCTCTACACATCGGTTGGAAAGGACCAAAGACCATCCCATAAGCCAAACCAAGGATGAATACACTACAACCTTGTGAGGGAGCGGGTAGACCCCGGAATCCCGCCGTTTCCATGCAGCTCAAAGATTAGCCGCTTATGGCCAGAGGAGGCCGATCTCTTAAATAGTTTTCAGACAAAAACATTCACTTTGGCTCGTTCCTTAAGCAGACTTGGCCTTCTTCGCATGAGAGAGCTGGCGTTTTACCCACCCATATTTCCAGACGAAGCAGAGCCTCAGCAGGTTGGATGGTTCCAGCTTTGAGCCCCGTTCGATGGCTTTGGGGCTACTACATCACTGCGGAGGCCCGGTTTCTTTGTGATTCGTCCCCCGAACCGCCGACTCAGGGAGACTCATGCAGTCCATTTCGTGGATTCTTCATGCAACTGGACGAATCATCTGAAGATGGCACCCACCTCGTACTTGTTGAGTGTGTTTTCAGGGTTGAAAATCGAATGTCTGTCCACAGTTGCAGTCAAGTTTAGGATGCCAACAGTTAGACTGTGACGATGTGTTGGAAGAAGAATCACACACCACATAACAACAACATCCTCTAACCACCAACAGCATGTGGATGGCATTGCCCCTTCAGTTGGTAGAAAAAGGCATGAAAAAGCGAGAAGCTGCGCCACCAAACACCCTGAATCCTTGCTGCAACGGACACGCTCCGTCTATCGCCCTGGTCGCAGATGCCGCGGCTCTCGCCCTTGTCACGGACGGGCGCCGCGGGCGCGATGCGGTCCAAGGCGCCGCTCGTTCCGTGGCGATGGGTGACCTGAGGAGGAAGATGAACAAGCCTAAGTGTCCACACTTGTTGAAGCATGCTACGTTAGTAGCTTCTTGCTACGTTCGTAGTAATGGCCAACCTACTAGCGATGGCCTCCACCCTAGTAGCTTCTTGTTACTTGTTGAAGTACTACCGTAGATGGACCAAATATTCAAAGCCTTCAAAACTGCTTGGACCCCTTCCACCCCAAAACACATCATTGTTGCAGTACTAGTATTTGCTTTTCTGATCTTCGCGTCTATGAAGATCCAACATGCCCAGATGTTGTGCTTATTGAAGTATAATTAGGGATGTCCGCAGCAATCCCGGTAGGGAACTCTGGATGTGGTTGTTGGTTCTTGTCCAGGCTATTGATCCACAGTTGCAAGAGGAGTTGGTTGGCCATTCACATGTTGTGACAAGTTGCTGGTGTCACTTTGTATGTAAGCCCGCAAGTCCAAGGTCCTTGAGGGGCGGAAAGAGACCCATAAAAGTCAGTAAACCAATATTGCTGATGTCCTTTTTGAGGTCCCAAGTCTTGACTTTGGTTTGACTGAAATTTTGCATTTGATATGTTGCCACACCCCTAGTAAATCCATTCAATCTCCTGTTTTGCGGCATGTATTCATGGCAGCCATGACAGGTGCAGTCAGTACCATTGATACGGCTGTGGGTCATGGCACCCTAAAAACCCTGGTTGACCGCTGAACATGTTCACAGATTCCTCTATGTTTCGGGAGGTCAGATCCAAAGAAACATGATCTTATGGGTGTCGAACTGACACATGACGTTTTTGAAGTCCAAATAGAGTAAGTATAACATAACATCATTGCCTTTTTGTAGAGGTGCACCCTGGTAGAGCTACTTTAGTTGAAGGACACCCGACCCCTCGATGGTCCTCCCCCCTCCGTGGCCTCGTGGTGACCTTATGGACCCACCGTGGCCTTTGGAAGCTGCTCGTTAAAAGTAAGATGGCTGAATGGAACCACGTGAAGCAAACCTTTCGCAAGGTAGTTAGGTAGTTAGCCAAGCATCCCATGAACATGTCTTTATGATAGGGGTTTCTTGTGTGCTCAGTGTTAGCATTGATAGCCTCATGAAACAAATTTCTAGTAGCTTCCTGCTCCTAGTAGTAAGGCCAGGAGCTTCGTTCGTAGCTTCTTGTTACGTTCGTAGTATGGCCAGGACCCCCCGTTCGTAGCGTCCGACCGCTCCGTTCGATAGCCCGAACAAGTCTCCTGAGTCGCCTTGGCATGGTCTCGCTCGCTGCCCAGCTCGTCGGGCCCGACCTCAGGGCTACGACCTGCAGTATTTGGGCGACTGCCAGAACTCCTTGGTGGGCATCCAGGAGTCACATGGGGAACGTAGACCGCTTTTTGGTTCCGAGCCAAGTTGGCTCAATGGAGTCATCCACTTTTTACCAATCGACGCGCTTGCATTCTAAAATGTGTGTTGTAAGAGTAGGAGGACCTTCCCTCACATATTTAGCGCTTTGACCATATAGTGGACATGCTCGCAAGCCAGACCATCGTCCCCTTGGTCACCTGTCGTTCGGGATGTTTGGGTTAGTGGTGTTACATCGTGGGGACTCATTCTCGGGCAAGCAAGTCTGGCGGGTTCTTAATCGTAGTGCTGTTGAGTGCGCCTGCACCAACTTGATAAAGGTTTGCTTGGTCACCGTCACCACGTCCAGTGGTACCCACACCAAGGTACCCACACCACAATTTGCAACTCGACATGGTTTGCTGCAAATCCGTGCTTCAGAGCATCGGAACATCATCATATTATATAAATGGGGTCCCCCCCATCGATTCCAGAAAAAACTACTTCTTGTAAGCACTCACCTGGAGGGCAGTCTTCATAAGGGACGCGGAAAGCATCCTGGTCCTCGAGCTAAAACAGACCGGGTGGATGTTCATTCTAGAGAAGGAGACTTCCAATTCGACCCCCTTTCAAACATTCTTTTGGGGCAAGGGACACATCCAGTGCTTGGGAAGCTTGCGCCATGGAGAGATCTCCTCATGGACTTCTACCCTACCCATGCAGTCAGTAGAAAACCTTTAGCCCAATGTCTAAAGCTCATCCCAGTGGGGATTGGGGAAACCCCACTTTGACATGAAAAGAGATCCTAACATGACATGAAGAGATCCTAACATGAGATCACATGAGATCGCTCTCATGTAGGGTGTGGACTTGGATGGTTCACCTGGGGCCCAGGACCGATCTGTCGAAACCTTGCAGCAGGTCGACACGCAGTCGTGGAGACTCGACACGACTTCGGGGCGAAACCCAGTCCCGCGGTCCCACGTGCGTGGGAGGGCGGAAGGTGGAAGGTGGAATGGAGGGTTGGATGTGGATGGTCGTTTTGGGAGGAAAGGTCAGTCTATACCTGGACCCGACTTCAAGTACCTTAGAAAAAGGGACATGACCCTATAAAGACAGGTGTTCAGGGGGGGTTCGTGCTTTTGGAGGAAAGGTTTGTCTAGTGATTTCGATGATTCAGGGCCTTCCTAGAGCCCACGCTGCGCTCTTCGCCTGGGCATTCTATGGAGTATTCACGAAAGCTAGCGAAGCTAGCTGGAGTTACTCTTGCGATAGCAAGGTTTCTTTCGACCGGGTGCAAATCCTAACCCCTGATTTTTCAGGTCGAAGACCCCCCCCCCCCTCCCCTCCGCCCCTCTCCCCTCCTCCCCTCCTCCCCTCTCCCCTCTCCCCACCCCACCTCCCCTCTCCTCCTCCTTGTCTTCCTCCCACCTTCCCTCCCTCCCTCCCTCCTCCCTCTTCGCAAGTTCGACTCCGTCCTGTCGTCGCTCTTTGGCATGCGGTTAGCGTTGCGTATCTTGCGGCCGCACTCGCTCACTCTCACTCTCACTGTCTCACTGTCTCACTGTCTCACTGTCTCTCTCTCTCTCTCATCTCTCTCATCTCTCTCATCTCTCTCATCTCTCTCATCTCTTTCTCATCTCTCTCATCTCTCTCTCCTCTCTCTCTCTCTTCTCTCGCAGGAGGATCCGGGCAAAGAGCCACATATAAAGGACTCTTCACCCCTGCCTCCAAAAAGAGCGCCGTGTTTTTTCCTACCTCGCTGCCCTCCACTTTCCCATTCTGGAGCGCTAGCTTTCGCCCCCCCCCTTGGCCTCAAGTCCATTTGGGGACGCCGTTGGTTGAGATGTGGGCCCGCTTTGCATCCAAGCATGCAGCTCGATTTCTTTCGTAGATGTCAAATGCACATTGCTGCTTATTATGCTTGGCTGAATTCAAAACCCTTTTGGGAATCAAGAGGAATGGCTGAAATTGGATGCGCTGCCTTCCGGTACGGATTGTCATCCCCAGGACATGTGTCATCGGGTCCCGTTGTGTCATCGGGTCCCGTTGTGCCAGGCATGGATTGAGAATCGAGGATGGGTTTGTTCAGCCAGGGACTCAGCCAGGGTCGTATACGGTGGAATTCCCGAATTTCCCCCTCGTTGAGCAAATTTTCCCCTGGAGGTGTGGTTTGGGCCGGTCAAGGTTGAGCAACTCCCGTGCGCGGGTTGAAAGACTCGCAGGGCTGTGTTTGATTTGAAGCGAGAGGTTTTTGTGGAAGGTCAGAGTCAAGGTTGAGTGCATGAAGCCCAAACACAACCAAAAGTTGTGACAAAGCAACACAGGTGAATGCGATTGTCCAATCATGGCTTATACCATGCGAAGAGTCTTCCAAAGCTAATTACAGATGTTGAATGAGAGTGACACGTATTATGCATTTTGCATGAGGCTGACTAGGGCACGTTGCTTCATTGTACTTGTATGCATACTAGTATAATCTAATTATACCACTCCTCAAATGATCATGGAAGCCAGTCGCAGAACCTGCTGATACACAAACAAAAATACGAACATGTCGGGGGGAGCGATGTTCCACTTCCATGATTGATTGAGAGAGAGTATTTCCCAGCCAACGAAATGCACGCTGCACCAGGACCTTCAAAGTGACCTCTTTGGAGTCTGTAAGTGACCTCTTTAGGGACTAAGTGACCTCATTCTAGGATCTCAAAAGGTCACTTTGCATGTATATGTATGTATTGACATTGATCTGGTTTGGTTTCTGCATTAAATGGACATCCTTTCACATGTTCCAGACAATGCCCCTGCAAAGGATTGGTTAGGTTAGCATTATTTAGACGGGTTATGACAGGTTTGAACTTTATAAGGCACAGGTCCATACTATACATGTTTTACAGTGAAACCTTTTTCTCGCTGAGGTTTGGTGAAGACAAAAGGTGTGCTCAATGAGGTTCACAATGGTAACCTGTAAGCTGAAGTTCCTGTGGTTTGGTCCAAATCCTTTTTGGGGGGAAACATTGGACACCAGGGAGTATTGACAGGTTGGTCAATCAGGGTCAATCCATTGAGGCGAATTCGATGTTCAGTGTTCCTCTCTCCCCCCTTCCCTCCGGTCCATCACCCAATCCGACTTCTCGTAACCCACCGATGATTCGGTCGCTGACCGTGCCTACTGGGACCACGGACGGACGACGCGAACGCCGACCGTACCGGGACGACGGGTCAGTCTCGCCGCCCAGCCTGCACCGTTGCTGCTCTTGGGCATCCTCTTTCGTTTTCTCGCAGGCGGTGAAGCCGTGGTTGGAAGCCGTTGTTGGTCGGTTTGGAAGGAGCGGAGAACGGTGAGTGTTGTTGAAAACGTGGTGCATGTGGATCTGGGCGTCTGAGTGCGACGTGAGTGCGACGGATATTTGGGAAGTGGCGGAAACAGCAGGCAGTTCGCCTGCGCCGGTCGGTGGTCTCCAAGTGGAGGGTGTTGGGTTTGAAAGGATTTGGCTACAACAGCAATATGATGCAATGTGAAGCTTGTCGCACTTTTGTCATCCAGAGTGATCTTTAAGCATAATTGAATTGTTCAAAGAACAACACGAGCTTCCATTCATGGAGGCCTGTGTGAAAGCCGTTCCCCAAGGAAGTGTTGTTCCTTTCTGGGAAAGCTTCGTTGTGTATACCACATTTTTGCGACGGCCGAGTGAACTTGAGAAGGAGCACCAAGCTGGCAGCTCAAAGAGGTCACTGCTTAGAGCTCAAGACCTCCCATCCGGCAGCCTGCCTCCAGCGTTTTTGGGGATGGTCAGGCTGCTGCTTGCTTCTGTATGTGAGCGCACAGACCAGTGGGTGGGCACGCTTCTTTGCACAGTCTCTTGGCTAGCAGAGAACATGGGAAGTGCGGCTAAATCATGCTAGATCCAAGGCTGCTCCTGAGAGATTCGATGGTGCGACACGCGAGACCGCTTGGGATCTCTTTCGGGAAGTCGAAAATCCACCTGGAGTTCTTGGTGCATCCCTTCCGAGGCTCTTCCGTACCTCCAAATGTCTTGATCAGATACGGCAAGGATTAGAGTGATCAGATCAGGATAGGATACATAGTCCTGATCAGACAAAGATACAAAGATCCAAGTTATTGCTCATTGGGCCATGAGCATCGGAGCCTGATGAGCAAAGCAAGGCTTTTGGGAAACCAACACAGAGGTATGGATATAGGGGAACACTGGTGTTTCTGTCCCTGTGATGTTTCTATCTGAAATGGGTGCTCTCCCCCAGAACCACACCTTCTTTTTTTTCGCGGGGACAGGCTGGTTGGAAACTGGGGACTAGTCGGCGAAGTAACCGGTCGGAGCCAACAAGAAAGAGTCCCTTCAACGAAGTGCCTGGCTTGTTGATTTTGGTGCCATGAACACTTCTCAAGCTGGAGGATTGCACGGTTCTTAGCAGAAGCTGAAAAAACTTCTCAGCACAAGCTGTTTGAATTCTTGTGTTTTTTTTTTTACTTCTCAAGTAGCAGACATTGGAGACAGGGAGACTTGTGAGTTTTTTTTATGGCGGGGGTTCCCTTCAGTTCTGGAAGCACCAGTGCAGTAGATCTTTGGCCTCCTTTTATTTGTGCAGTAGATCTTGTGATATCTTGTGTAGTACTAGCACCTGTGTTAAGTCGTCTGGTCTTGTAGAAAGTCGTTTGGATGCTGCGTTTACCTTGGGGTTAGATGCAAGATGGCAATATAACTGGAAGAGTATCAGGTCAACACCATTGTTTGGATGCTGCATTTACATGCGGTTTAGGTGTAAGATGTCAATCTCATTGCAAGATGTCAATCTCATGCAGCTCCAACCAAACCACTGTTTTCCGGTGTCTTCACGGACTTCAAGACCCGAAACCCCCAAAATGGAACGCAGCTCTCAGATCCTAAGGACCCCGAAACCCCCCCTCTTCTCCCAGATCTCGGACCGAGAGATCTGCTCCGGCCGGGGAGATGGTTCCTGCTCCGCGAGTGAAACGAGGTCCGAAATGGGCGCTTGGAAGCTGGCTGGAAAGTTCTTTGCCCTGCTGGTCGGTCCGGAGCTACAAGGGGCCCAGCGGGTGGATTTTTGGTTGTCTCTTTGTTGTTTTTAGGGGGATTCATGTGATCAAAGACGAAGAAGGGAACCGTTTTCACTTGCCGGACATCGCTTCGAGAGATGATGGTACAATGGTTTGCTGGAGTGCTACAGTGTCTCCCCGGAAGGAAGACTTGGTATTTGATTTCAGACGGAATGTTCAATTCAGGTGAAATGCACTGCACTGCACTGTGAAGAGACTCCTCCCTGAGGCCGACAAAAGCCCTGAGCAGGTTTCCTAGGTCATACAGATGGTTGGACCTATGGCTGGACCAGGGAGCCTTCCACATGCGACTTCCACTCCCTAGACCCTGAATAGAAAAAATTCGTGTACTCAAATAGACATAATCGTGAATCAATGACACTTAAAAGGCCAAATGCATATTCATATTAGTATTTATTAGTGATCTGGTTCTTTTGGGCTGCTAGATGTCTGAGATGTTTGTTTGCCAAGGCGCGTCCTTGGTGATCTTTCTCTTTGCAGAGGCGAGGCTGGCAAGAGAAGATGAGGTCCAATATTGAATGGATCTGTCAAAACATCTCCAAATGATGCCTTTGGATATGGGAGAAAGCGGCGGCTCCAACCCAGGCCGGGGGTCACCTACTTCATGCACACCTCGCCCCATAATATGATCAGACGGCACTGCAATCTGCCATGGCCTTGGATGGTCCCCAAATTCATGAGATTTGTGGGAGGAATATCCTGAAAGTCACTCCAATCAATTTTTGCTTAACAGGTGAATGTCAGCAAGATTTGCAGTCAACACCCTGGGATTTGAGTCACATGCAGAGCTTTCACCATGCCCTCAGAATGAGACTTTGTGGAGTTGTTGCTCTCCTATGTTCTGTATTCTTTGTAGATTATCCAAATTCAAAACCTCAAGTAGTCTCAACTGCCTGACTGCTGCTTGACTGCCGCCCTCGTGAGGTTTGGGTCTTCGGGAGTCAAGAGCTGCACCTTGCAGGGGAGACCCAGCCGACGCTCGGAGCGCGGCGAAGGCGAGGCGAAGGCGAGGCGAGGCCTCGGCTCCGGAAGAGCAGTTCAGAAGGTCTGGGAACCTCTAAGAGGGTTGGGCCTGGCAGAGGAGAGACATCGTTCTCATAAACGCCAGGATACACCAAGAAGAGAATGTGCAGGTTCTTTGCAAGAGGATCTCTTGGTAGTACCACGTGAAGGTGGCATCCCCTTTCTATAAAATAGCTGTCCGATGTGGGTCAATCCTTGTTGTAGAGCAAACCCAGGGTCAAGAGAGATAATTTGCTGCGAGCCGTTCTGATTCTGGCCCCAATGACAAGAATATCCGAATATCCTATCATGCGAATCATTCATTATTGTTTCTATGTCAAATTAATCAGTGTTCCTCAGAAAATATGTAAATAACTTAATTTACGATCATCCTGATATCGAAAATATAAATATCAACAAATAGATGACAAATCAACATACCACGATTTCTCCAATGCCCTTCAATATATTGAATTCAAATTTTATTAGGAATATATTATCATTGGATATCATGATGGTTTCTCGAGGTCAAACATATACCTTAAAAGAATTATATTATATTATATAATATTAATCTATTTTGAAATATATCTTATAATTAATATCTAGGATAATAATTATATAAAATATAAATATGGATATAGGATATATATTATGTTAAAAATATTATTTAATTGTATAAAATAAATATATTATAAATAAAATAATGATTTAGATAAATTTATAGATTTTTATTTATTATTATTTTATATATATTAAAATTATTGTATATTATATTAAATTATATATATATTGATATTGTTACATAATAAATATATAATATTTATTTATAAATATATATAATAAATAAAAAGGAAATTATGAATTCGAATATAAATACGTTCGAAATATTATATACGTTAAAATGATATTTGTATAGGATATATTTGTTATATTTTTGTGAGTTACGTTTGTAGGAAATTTTTATGGGATAAAGGATTTTGGGAATATTTTTGGAAAACACTTTTGGGGGATATTTAAAGGATATTCTGATGAGATATTTTTGGGGGTAATTTTTATAGATATTTTTGTGGGATACTTTTGCGGGATATTTTTATAGGATATTTTTATGGGATATTCTTGTCGAAAATTTTTATTGTACACTTTTGAACGACACTATTCTGGAATACTTTTGAGGTACATTTTTATAGAATATTCTTGTAGGAAATTTTTATGGGACACTTTATTAAATATGTATTAAATTATTAGGATATATAATTGATGAATATGGAAATATTGTTGATTATTAATATTAAGGCTTGGGAATTAATTTAATAAAATTATACGGAATTTTGAAATAAAATATTCGAAATAATCGGATTATTATATATATTGTTTTAATTTTGTTTTTTTAATAATTCGTCGTAATCCGGATATGTTTCTTTAAAATAATTGAATTATTTTATATTTTTCGATTTTTAAATATAAAATATTATTTAATTCTATTACGATCGATTGTGGTTTCGAATCTCGTATTCTTATTATAGATTGTTTTGATTTTTTTTCGTAATAATCGATTTTGGATTTATATTTATTGTTTATTGCGGAGATATTGATAGCATACAAAGTCCGCTAGACTACGAAGGTGCAAAGAGCACCGCAACGAATTGAATGTTGCGCGAATGCGACGCGGCCGTGGAGCTTTTTCCGACTCATTTGAGCCCTCCCATTGCGGAAGGGGCGACATTTCTAAGGTCCGGACAACCTAATCTCAAATGTTCAGCGTGCATTTCCCACGGGCAATGATATTGAAAAAAGCCTTGGTTCAAAAGCCTACTAAATCGGCGAGCCATGCCGTGACCTCGTTTCGGATCGTGTCATTTAGCTGCAGGTAGGAATTTCCTACCATTAGGTTGCGCCTGTCTAAAGGCGAGTGCCGATTGGCACAGTAGCTGCAGCCTTTCCCATGGAGCCTGTTTTGCTCCGTTATTTGGTCCATTAGGTGGCAATCCTCGCGCTGCCAGCACTGTCCCGATCGGAACATCACAACATTGGTGCTGTGGGGGGAGCTGCTCCAGTGGTCGTTTAAGACGTCCACCAGTCGGCACAGGGACACTGCGCCGCCAGGGCCTTGTAGTTCTCATTCTCCTCGATTACTCTATTGACCTCTTCCTGGGCCAGACACATAGTTTTTCGTGCCTCAATCGTGGCCTTTAGGTGAGTTTGGCTTTCTTCCTTCTCTCTGGCAAGCACCTCTCTCTGGCAAGCACCTCTCTCAGGCGGTAGTGGACGATGAGTTCATCCTTCTGCATTCCCACATAGATGTGCCCGATCTTTCGGCCACAACAGCACCAAACACAAAATTGACCAAGCATGAGAACCAACGCGATTCCCATGCAAATCATGCCAAGGTTTCAGTGGTGGTGGCATTGTCCCAGCACATGTCGGGGCTTGCACTCGAAGCTTGAACCAGCAGGGCCAACATGCACATCTACATGACGTTCTTTATGCGAACCGGGATGTTATAAGAGTTACGGGAAGCGACATGGCTTGAGGCATACACATATATAAGGGGCATGTGGTTCAAAACAAGGTGGGCATTCTCATAGTGGCCATCGGTGGAGTCCTCAAAGACGCCTTCATTGGTGAGGTCATCCGGTTCCTCCTTTTGGTGCCAGACAATCATTTTCTCCTTCTTCTCTGATTTCACCTCATTGGCGGTGGTCTCGGTCAATGCTGTCATCTTTTCACCTTTTGATTTCTTCTTTATGGCGGTGTAGTTCGGGTCCCAGGTCAGCTTGATCCGGTGGTGTCGCAGCCTGGTGGCAAACAAGCCACGTGCAGCTTCCTTAGTGAGGCCATCAACGACCTGACGATCGGAGCTCATCCACTTCAGTAGGCTTCCGAGTTCTTGAACCCGTTCCTTCATCACCCGGATTTCCAGGCTGACACGTTTGTCAACCACCGAAGAGCTTGCTGCCTCTCTGTGGTAGGCGTCATATAACGCCTTGGCATCAGTGACAACCACGGGGCGCAAGGTGGAGCGCACCTCCATCAAGTTCTTCAGGGAGAGGTCGGGGTCCAACAAGTGGTGCCAGTACCGGCAGGTGAAGTCGACAGCATCACTCGCCTGGCCTCCGGCCTGTGCTTCAGCGCCCAAGGACGAACGGGCGACTTGTGGAGTCTTGAAACTTCGCCAGTCCAGGATGTGGTAGAAGTCCTCGTGGTTGGAGTTCATGAGGCGGTCGTTGACCAACATCAGGATGTAGCCTCCTTGTGAGCTGCCATCATTTCTCGTGGAGAAGCCAGCATCGAAGAAAGCTAGCAGCCGAAGATCCTGAGGAGCTCCGAGTGGGCGGTACTGGAGTCCAATGTCTTTGCTGTCCTTGGCGAACTTCAGCAAGCGATTGCAGTCCATGATGGTCTGCACATTGGCCTTGGTAATCTGGCCAGCAAGCAAGGAAGTATTGCACTGAAGATGGGGTGCCGTCTGAACAGCGGGCCATTGGAGTGATCCCAAGAGTCCCCTCAGTTGAGTGATCTCACGCTCCTTCAGCAGGTCAGCTGCTGATCGCTTCTTATCGATGGTGATGGGCTTGACCTTTTCCATATACTTGGACTGCTGGAGGCATGCGCCACCCTCTGGGAACTTCACAAGCTCGCAGCCACAGTACTCGAGAGTCGACTGCTCTTCTTTCCATTCTCGAAATGAAAAGTTGGACTTCAGCTGGGCGACCACTGCCTGGTACCGTGGGCTCTTCAAACAACCTGCACCGAGGAGATCGTCCACATGCATGATCATGCCGACCAGGCGCTTTTTCTCCAAGCGAACTCACCTTCTGGTGAATGGGATCCTCAGGGTCAAAGTGCTCATCATCGATCTCATAGACCAAAAATGCACAGGGGTCGAGGGCGTGCTGTTTGAGTCCGCTCTTCTTCAAGCGGTCCACCGCTTCGAGGAACCAGCCACGAGGTGCGTCGAGGCCGGCATCGGTGTAGAGGCGGCTTTTGCCATTGGTGCCGTGGACCAGAGTGACTCGAACATGGTCCAGCTTATTGCCGGAGATGGGGCAGTCTTTCCACGTCGTGGGACCACATGATGTCCAATGAGGCACCCGGCACGAATCTCCCAGTAGTCGGTGTTGCGGTTGGTGAGCTGCAGGGAATCCTTGTTCATCCATGTGCCATTCACTTGGAAGCATGGAGGTGTCCAGATCATCAAGGTAGAAGGCTTGACCAGCCAGAGAGTCGTCTGTGTTGATGACGCTCTTTGCCTCGTATGGGGCACTGGCTGGTGGTGGTTGGCGCCGAACTGGTGCAAAGCTCAGAGTCTCTTGGCGATTGAAGCGAGCACGTTGCTCAGCAAATGTCTCTGGTCTTGGAGGTGCTTAAAGTGCCGCAGTTTGTGGATCCAGCGGTGTTGGCGGCTCTGAGGCCGGAGCTGGTGCTGCGTGAGGTGTGGCTGCAATAGACATGGCTGGCTTCTCCTCGCTGGGTTCGGACAGAGAGTCCAAGGTGCTAGGAACCCACGGAATATCGTCACCCTCTGCGGTGGCTTGTGGTCTGTCTGCTGCTGCCGTGTCTGCTGCTGCCGGCACTGCTGCAGCTGCCGCTGTTGTTGTGGCTGCCGCTGACTGAGCTGGTGACGTTGGAGTGTACTCTCCAGTGTCCATGTTTTCCTGCACAGGAACAGCCGCTTGTGAGGCCTCAGCAGGCCCGCCGTCGAGGCGGTGGTGCCATCTCATGATCAGAATCATCCTCCATGATCTCGCCATCAGGGCGGTGAGCATGTTCGCTCGACATCATGCAGTTCCTGTTTGTTCAACCGGTAGAGGTCATAGAATCTGGTGACCCCACGCGACTTGAGTGAGCGCACCGTGTTCAGAGCCTTCTGGACGTCATCCAGGATGTGCTGGGTGTTTTTTGACATCGGCACGGATGTGATGCGGTGCACACCGTATCAATTGAGACTTGCAGGCCAGCCAATAGACGGACACCTTCTGCTCCTCACCCTCCTTCTTGTATTCCTTCATGACCACATGAGCGGGGCTGAGCCAGCGAATCTTGACGAGATCGGGCTGTTTGGCATCACGCTGGAACTATACTTGCTGACCCATCTGGTACTCAGAGATCGATACCCCTGCATGCCGACTACTTCCTGGGCCGAAAGAGCGTACTC